CCCAAAGCCTCGCCTCCGGAGGCCTCGGTGGGGTCGGGGGGGAAGGGGAGCAGCCCCGGTTAACCAGACCAAACTTCACTTGCTGGTGCTCAGTAACCTTGGGATTCCCTTGTTAAAGGAAACCACCAGTTGGATGGTTTTTCTCGGGGCCTTTCCATGTCTCATTCCCTGCATCTCTCGCACTGATCACAAGAATCTGCCCAAAAGACGCGCTTTCTTTCGCCCCCGGTCGCTCGAAGCCGGTTGCTTTCCCAGCCCGCGCCCCGGTCTCGTTCCTGGCGTAGAATCTCGTCGAAACTCTCGGGACAGGGATTGGTTCACCTTTGGAACAGTTTGGTCCTTCCCCAGAGGCTCCCAATTCATTTAGGGACCTCAAACAGCCAGGTTTTGAGACCCCCAAGCACCTCCGGGTGTCCAATGGAGGGGTCGGGTCTTCCATTGAAAGTTTAAGCAAGGAGCGCTGGGTCACAACAAACCAGTTTACGCCTTCCCCGCTTGGAACGGCGTTTTTGCGAGCCGAACGCCCCCGTTTCTTGGTGGCTCCCAGCCATCCGGTTCCTTCGCATTTCAGACTTTTGGTGTTTAGTGGTTGGGTTTCCATCACACGCCAAGTTCTTCACTTTTCAGCGGATCCGAAAACGGGCAGCCCATTGAAACCGAAAAACGTCGAAGCCGAAGGCCGCGGCTTGGAAAGCGCCCAGCGCCGCGTGGCGCAGCGCTGGGCCAAGAACTGGGACACGCCCACTGGCACGGCACGCCCTTCGATCGGCTCGGCTCGACTCGGATCGATGCTGCGCGATCGATGCGGGGTGGTGTCCTCCTTTTTTCCCCCTGTGTGTGTGTGTATTTTTCCCCGAGGGATGTTTTTCAGGGTTTTGTTGTTTTTCTTTTTTTTCCGGATTTGTCAGGGTTTTCGGGAGTATTTGCGCTGTTTTTTTTGTTTTTTTGGTCTTGGGTCTTTTTCCCCGGCGGAGCGCATGCGTGGCCTATTGGCCCTTTGGGTTTTGTGGTTTTCATTTTTAGCCAGCAAACCCCGGATCACCCAACTGAAAGTTACTTCAAACAATTTGTCGATGATGTAGCTTGAGCCGAATCATACTGGTATTGGCTTCTGTTGTGCACAGGGTTGTGGAATCAGGGGGGTTATTCTGCGGTTCACGGCAGCTTGGGAGCATTTTCTCATGGCCTCTTTGTGACCGAATCGACCCGCAGAGACCTTTTAAAACGAATGGCTTCTTCATTTTCAGCCACAAACTGTGCAACATGTGGTCCGAAATGGCCATGGGATCTGTTTTTATGGACCTTTACAACCAGCCTTTGAAACAACGGGAAGCCGCGCCAAACGGGGCCCGCGTTCAACGCGTTCAACGCGTTGCCGTCGCGTTCAGGCGCTGAACGTGGCCACGGCGGCCTTGGCGGTGGGTGCCACATTGGCTGCGCTGAAGCGCGCCCGGGCGAGGTCCTAGGCCGGATGCCGGAGGTCCCTATTCTCGACTGCTATTGTGTTAAATCTTTAGACTTTAACTTTTTGGGAAATCAAGGGGTTTTCCACTAAACCCACAAACAGTTGTTCACTTTTTGCAGAGGGGTCAACAGCAACAAAGTATAGGGGTGTAAAAATTTCAATTTTGCGAGGTTGCACAAAGACTTGGTGGCTACCACAAATCCGGTTCCTTAGCTTTTTAGTTTTTGTTGTTGTTTAGTGGAGTTTTCCATTTAGCCCACGAAAAGTTAAACGTTTAGCGGGGGATCTGAGGACAGCCTAGAAAGCAAGCTTCCTGTTTGTTGGTTTGGCTGTAGGGGGCTGCACTGCACATAGTTTCTTTCTTCTTTGTACTACCATATCGTTTGGGTTGGACAGATATATATATGTTTGCTTTTCTCCTGGAAATACTGTGGATGGTTGCGAAATCCACGAGCAAGTCTTGCACCACGAAATGAAAGCATGGTTGAAACCGTACCGCTGGTTGGTATTTACAGGGCCTCATCATTCCAGGGTTTCTTAGGTGCAGGACTCCGGCCATCCACGGTATGTGTCCTTTGGGGTGGTGTAAATCATGGGCTGTAGGACCTGGTGTGCCGCGAAGGGCTCTACCCCTGTGTTCTTAAATTGGCATTGTCCTGACTATGTGCCAACTGCCTACTATGGCTCATGTACCTTGGCGGTGCCCAGCGCAGCGTTCGGTTCCTTAGGTTTATAGATGTTTCTGTTTACGGTGTAGTGCTTGGGTTTCCATATAACCCACTAAAGTTATATTCACTTTTAGCGGCTCTGAGGACAGCCCAGTTACGGTGGCTGCCGCTGCAAGTAAGCCAGGTTTTATATGGCTTTGTTCCCAGCCTCTAACTAGCCATGCCGGTAGGTCGGTTTATTTGAGTGTCTTTTGGGGCTGGTTTCACCGGCAAACCGCGATTTTGTGGGGTTTTTAAGACAGGCCCATTTGACTTCCTGCGGCTTCACTTCAGAAACCCTATGGCACCTTTGGAGTCAACCGTGCAAGGTGCCATCCCGGACTTGGCTGGGCGGGGGCCTTGCGGGTTCTAGTTGGATGTGGGGGCATCAGAAACATCGCCCTTTTGGCAACTTAAACACTAGTCTTCTTCGTGGCCGAGTGATGCTCCTGGACTTTAGTGCCTGCGCCTTTCTTAAGCTACTTGTTTTGGAGCCACATGGCCTGGCCAAATCATGGTTGTGGAGATTTGGATTTAGGGCCACTTGCTGTGACACCCATACTTCCCGTCAACCCAAAGTGAGATCGCTCTGGTATAACGGGTCTATTTTCCACATTTTTCCCTGAGAGTCCTGATTGACCTTGGCTTCTCCATAGGCCCTTTTGAGAACCCCCCAAAGCAAGCCGGGGAGTCTCCATCTTGAGCCCCTGCCGACCACTTGCCTTGCCCGCAGGTTGGCACCAAGTCATGGACCTCAAAGCGCTCAGAGAGGGCTATGGGGAACTATGGCGGGCTATCAGCTATTCATCCCTCACTTTACCTTCGGCTTGCCCTTGTCTGATGCAAGGCTCACTCAAGGATAGCCCCCGCAGAGCCCTGAAAAAAGCAGACGGATGCCGGACGTTTCCCTAGAGCTCAGCGTACAGGAGACCGCAGGCAATGTACAGAACAACGCCTGGCGAAATGGCCGCTCAGTTGGCCCTCTCGTCTCAAAAAGGCGCGCATTTGATTGTTTCGAGGATTCCACTGCCCAGCTCCATCGATTTCCAAGGCTTCCCCAAACTCCGTGTTGAAGCCTCCTCCTTCATAGAACATCAGGGCGCAGCGGGGGCCAGAGGGCCGGGATTCACGCGCTGCCTGGTGCATTGGCGTTGGTGGGTGCGTGTGCGGGGTTGGGGTCAGTGCCCCAAGAGCGCCCAAGGCCACCAAAAAGGCACGTGCAACTCATCTCCGCCAAAGCCGATCACATCCGATCACGGTTTTTGCTCTTGCAAAGGGACACAGGGCTTTGGGAATGAGCCTAGGGATTCCCTTAAACCGAAACCATACTGTGGATGGACGAAATCCTGCTCCACTTGGAAACCATGCATAACCATTGTTTGTCGGTTTTTTCAGGTGGATCATCATTCCAGGGTGTCTTAGGTGGTGCAGGATTTCGTACATCCGCAGTGGGGGATGGTTTATAGAGGTCATGCCCTCACTGAGCACCAGCAAGTTGTTTGGTGTGATAGGTGCTAGCGTCGTGGCAGCCCTCGCCCTAGAAGCCCCTTTTGAGGGATCCCCTTAGACCTTTCAAGGGCCCAATAGTCTAGGGGTTGATTCCCCATTCGTTTTAGCCATCGCTCTTTTCAAAGAACCAGCCACTTCCCAGGGTTTTTGGTGGTGTTCTAGAAAGGATGCCTGAAAAGAATGGGGAAGCTACCCCTAGAATTGGGGGAACAGCTAGGGCCTTAGGGCATCCTTTGGGCTGTTTGAGGGGGGGGAGCTTGGATTACGGGGCCGGTGCCAAGCGCAGACCTTACGCTCTTGAAGACCCCGAATGGCAGTGCACTCGACTCACGTCGAGCGCCAATCCCCACGTGAATGATGTCCAAGGGTCCCAGGTGAAATTCATGCCGAAATGGGGTGTTCTTTGTTCGGAGAAGAGGTGAGCCACAATCAAAACCCGGGGAAATGAAGGTTAGTAAGGGACAGTCCCAGCCTGAAACAGCTGCGGCCGCCTTCGTATTTCCTTGCATGGGTTAACCATTTTAATCCCGGGTTTTGATTGTGACTCGGGTTAAGTGTGTGTTGCATCCCGCTAATTTGTCAGTGCCCAAGACGTGTGCCCAGACAGGGCTCACAGCCTTGAGATGTGAGCCTTGAGAAGTGCTCGAGAAGACCCGAGCCGAGTCGAGTTGGTGAATTTCCTTGCATTACTTGTTTTTTCTTTTCAGGGATCCTTAAAATATCTCCATTTCGCAACAAATTGAAACATGTTGCTTTTTCAACACCAAAATCAAGTTGGACACCATTTACAAGTTGCAATGTTCAGGCGTATTCACTGTAAGGATCCCTGTTGATGGAGCCCTGTTTAGCCCAAGGCCCGTAACCTTTAGCCGGCCAACGGGAAATGGACCCCAAGTTGCCGCACCAACCCATCGATCTGGGGATTCCAACCTTCCTTTCTCGGGAAAAAAAGAGGCTCTAGCAAGGCCTTGTCTCACTTGTCCAAAGCTGATGTTTTCACTTTGTGGATGTCCACTTGGCCCTAAAAGGGCTAACCTTGATTGCTGGTCGCTTAGGGGGAACTGTCTAGGGGTTGATTCCCCATTCTGTTCAACCATCGTTCTTTTCAAAAGCCAGGTTGGAAGGCTCCCCAACTGAGTGACTGAGTCACAATCAAAACCTGGGGAAGTGAAGGTTAGTGAGGGCCAATCCCAACCATAAATAGCTGTGGCCGCCTTCTTATTCTTTACATGGTTCTGGGTCGACCGAGTTAATACCGGGTTTTGACCCTGACTCAACTGAGTTCATGCAGCTGGGTTTGGATAGTCATTCGGTCTGAGGCGAGGATGCTGAACAAGCTGACGGGCGAGGAGATTGTGGCTGATATTTTGGGGGAGGTGCCGCAGGTGCCGCTCGGCGCTGGCGCTCCGATCGGAGGGTCCGGACGGCCGGACGGCTGGGGTGTTTGACTCAAAATCGGGGAGAGTAACCTCAGCGAGCCCTTGGCACAAGGGTTCAGGGCTGGGCTGTTCAAAGGAAATCCTTCAGTCTCACCTTGCAATACGCAAGGATGAATATTTGGTCCCCTTTGCATTGGCTTCCCTATCGGGATTATGGATTAGGATTGGCCAAGCCTCCATTTTGAGCAGCCTAGTTTTTAAGTTGCCAACTTGGGTTCTTTGCGGGGCGAGGTTAAACACAAACACGTCCCAGCTTGGCCACCTTTGTCCTTTTGGGTTTCACAGACATGGAATTGACCCCAAGGTTCCACGAAAAACCGGAGGGTAACTCACTTGTCCCAAGCTTAGCTTTTGCTTGGCTCCTGCGGGTTGGGGATTCTCCTCGCCTGTGCTGTTCAATGGCAATCCGCAAGATCCTGACCTTGGAATACACGACGATTTGGTCCCTTTGTAGTATCCCAGAGGCTCGTGGCTTCGGAGACCCGGCCCCTCCATTAGACACCCCGGAGGTAGTTGGGGGTCTCAAAACTTGGCTGTTTGAGGGCCCAAGAAACATCGGGAGCCTCTGGGATGGACAAAATTGGATTGGCCAGCACTCCATTTTGAACAAAACTCAGCTGGGCATGCAATCTGAGTGCCGTTTGGGACTGCAGAGTCAGGACTTTGGTTTGGACCGTTCTCTTGTGGTCAGCAAACAAGTTAATTATTTTACTTGTTAAGTTGGGCCAATCTTCTATAAGTGGTATGCTTCCTCACTTGTCCAAACACGGCCCGATCGGATCTTTTAGTTTCCCATGTTCTCACTTCTTGGGTTGTTTTGGCCAATCCACTCAGGAAGTGAGTGTTGGTCCATGTTTCGTTGTTCCCCCAAAAGCGAGATGACAACGGCAGACTCCTCCCACATTGACAGGCGCCCAAAGATGCAGGCGGGACTGCCGAGCAGTCGGCAGATTCGTGGCTTGAGGGCTACACGGATGGCTTCCATCAGTATTGCAAGGGGCACCCCCCCCTCCCCAATCTGCCCTTATTTAATTACTTGGTGGCTCCCAGCCATCCGGTCCCTTGGCTTTTTAGCTCCCTTTAGCGTTTCTCGGGTTGTCCATTCCCGCTAAAAGTTCTTCACTTTTAGCGGGGGATCTAAGGACAGGCCCGTTTGCTATGGTTTCGTGGGGTGTGGTTGGCTTGCAAGATGCTAGGGGCATCCACCGAGCATAATTTTTAGAATAGTCATCCGAGCAGAATCAGAAGCCAATGCTCCGGGCTGCTAAAAGATGACCAAACCATATGGCTGTGAATTTTTGGGGTGGGTGCACCACCCATTTTAGTCCATTTTAGTGAGGATTGGGACATTCACTGGGGTACGATTTGGATTTTGACCCATGGCCATACGCCGATTTTGGCGTGGAATGTGTCTGCCCTCATTCTTCTGCCTTGCTTCCTGTGGCTTTTGGAGCAACGCCGTGTTTCAGATTGGACGATTCTGCCGGGAAAGCGCGCCATGCTTGCTTGTGCCATCCATGCCTTCAGCTGCCAAGTGTGTTGAGTTGGCAATCTGCATCTTCACGTGTAGTGTGTGCGCAAGTGTTGGCAACGGTGTTGGTTGGTCTATGTGTCCGTCCGCCCATCCGTTTGTTTGTTTGATTGTTTGTTTGTCTGTCTGTCTAATTGTTTGTTTGTCTGTCTCTTTGTTTGCATGTTTGTATCTTTGGGCAGCCCCGTCAGCAGCTCAAGACAGCGAATATCTATACTTGATTTTGCTGGTTGGACTTCAGTTGCCTTGTGCTTTTTTTTTCTCAAGTGGCGGCAGGCCTGACATCCCCTTTTTGTCCTTTCTTTGAAGCGGGTTGCCCTTTGAATCAACTGAGGCAGGTGCCCTTCCCCATGCGCTAGAAGTCTGGATCAGTTTGTTGGTCCCAGCTGCCCAGTGGTGCCTTTTTTTGAACTGGTTTTCGAGTTTAGGGTTCCCCTTCAACAGTCAGCCAGCCAAAGCAGGATGCCGATGTTTTTTCCGATGGAAATCCACTGAGCAGCTGAGTGGTTGCTATTCTGGCTTAGCGTTCCTTCGGCCCAAAGGTCTTACCCTTCCGCGGTTTCGGGTTTTGAAACCCAAGCCTCAGGCAACAAGAAGCGGCGGCGCGGGAGGCCGAACAAGCAGGCGGGAGAGACTTACGGACTAGTGCTGATGCCAGTGATAGCCCAGGAGCGCTTTGGTTCCAGTTGCTCAACTTCTTGTTACTGTTGTTGGGTCATTTGTGTTTATTGTTGTTTGTGCATTGCCCACTTGGAGCTTCCATTTGCTGAAATGAATATGCGTTTTCCCCCGTTGGTTTTAAAGGGGATCGATTTCACTATTGGAAGTATGTTTATGTTTTCCAGGGGGCCAAAAGCAAAACGATGTTGATTGGTCCCTGTTGGTTGCAAAGGACATCTATCACTATGTTCTTCCCCCAGGAGACTTGAGCAAATGGAGGGTATTAATCCGGGCACTTCCTCTCTCAGACACTCTTTTCAGTATACCGCAAGAGGATCGCTTTGGTCCCTGTCTCCATTTTTTCAAAGTTGCAACTGGGGAGTTCATTTTTTTCTCGGAAACGCCTTCTGATTATGGCGGTTTTCGGATGAATCTGAACTCAGGAGTATCCGGCTCGAAGGGCCCATGCTGCATGTGTGACGAGGTCCCTTCCCGAAAAGTGCGGTGTTTCCATTGGAGTCCAGGCTGTCCGATTCTGGGATTTTCCATGTAACATGGGAGGCTACAAACCACAGGGGAGCAGACATCAACAATTTTTGCAGTGTCTATTTCCACAGCTTTGCTCAGCTTTGAACCTTTGGCTGTGGTTTCCATCATGTTCCAGCTTGTCCGTTGCCCAGAACCTCCTCCGGGCCGGTGACAAAATTTAAGGGCTCAAAAGCGGCGGGGGGGGGGGCTCAAAAGTGGGATGTGTGAAGCCTTTCGTTGGTTTTATGGGCTGACTCTCTGGTGAGGAGATGCTTCTTCTTTTTTGGAGGCCCGCAGAAACACACCGGATCGAGTTCCCTGGCTAGCTCCCGCAGCTAGGTGCCCTTTCTTTTACCCTTTCTTGGGGGGAGATTCGGTTCCCCCTACTAAAATAGACTACAGAAAAAAGTTGGTACCATATTCTAAGCTCTCAACTCTGGACCCAGACTTCGAGGAGGGTTCTGCACTTGAGCCACTGGAGGCTGATGTTTTGGTTCTTCCTTTGAGCCTCACCGAGTCCCATTGCACAGCGCCATGGGAAATCTCGGTGCAGCTACCTGGGCCCTGCCGCCTCTTTGTCGTTCAGCTTTGGGAGCAGAGATCTTAACTTACCTTCTCAACTTGTTGGGGGTAGCATGGGCTGTATGTCTGTAAAAGATGAGAACTTCCCCAATCCTTGGAGTTTTAAGGGGTAAGTTTGGGAGCAAAAACCTAAGGAATCTGACAGGCGGAGAGGAAAAGAAAGCATGGCGTAGTTGCCCGCAAGCAAGCTGGAGGCTTTGGGCTCTGGCTTGGGCGTTCAATTCGCCAAGTTAGTAAGTTGGTAACTTGGGTTTAAGCCTACTTGTAAGTCTCCCAAGTGCAGTTAGTCTGGTTGTAAATAGGGTATAGCCTAGGCCGAACACCCGAGTCGCCATTTTCAATCCATCGAAGGAGCAAGAGGCGAAGCTGGCTTTGGAGCCGGTGACAATCGACCCCTTCCTGCTGGAGGAGGCATATTGGCGCTCGCTTCAGTGGATGCCCCTGCCGTAGAAGCCTTTTTATGGGATTCCTTTTTGGCTTTAAAGGGAAACCCAAAGGGAAACCACCCATTTTGGGGGTACCCTGATTTTGACACATGCCCAGGTTCTGTTTGCTTGCTACATATGTCTCACTTGCCCAAAGCGAATCCATCTTTGGACCTGTTGGTTTCCTCGTTTTGGCCCATGTTTAGTCATAGCCCCAAAAGGTTAATCTTTGGCCAAAGTGCAATTGGAGAGCAAAAGGGGCACCCTGGTGTGGACCGAAATTCTCGGCACTCAGTAGGGTGGGGGTTGTTGCTTCTTCGGCAGAATAATTAGAATAGTTATAAGGGCCATCAGAACAGGGTTGTAGGGCGCTTGTTTCAAGCTGAACGCAGCATTTATCACAGTAGAAGACTCTGTGAACGTACTTCCTTAAAGTTTATCTCAGGCCTAAACCAACGTTTGGGTTCGCTTTGGTCGCTTTGCTCGTCCACACCTCAGGCTGCTTGGATTGGAGCGAGGGTGTACCTGTTGGGTTTTCCATGAGAATCCTTTGGAGGGTAATTGTACGTAGCTCTGCCTCTGGCTTCCCTCTTTGAAGGCATGATGCATGCTCCCCAGCTTTTGGAGGGTAATGCGGAGGATCTCACTTTGGACCCAGTTTGAAGCATGCGATGAAACAGGGGTGCTTCCTTGCGAGACGCCTGAGCCCCATAGTCCCTCAGGGACCCTCAAACTTTTCCTTTTTTTTCAATGGAGCGCACTGGCCCAGCGACCTTTTCCCGGGAAACCCAAGCTACTCCCAGATCAAACAGTTCAACTCACCCCCCAAGAAGGAATCTAAGAGTTTGGGTTCCGAGTATTTGGGGAGTGTCCTTTTTCTTTCGCAGCAGCTCTTTCCGGGCGCTTCTCGCCCCCACTCGGTTTCGGACGCTCGACGTGTGAGGACCCCTCCTTGAAAGTGGAGGGCGCCGTCGTGGACGACTTTGGGGTCTTGGTGTGCCTGGGCGGCAATCGCCGAGAGAGCCTGCCAGAACCAGACACCACTAGGTCCCCCAGCTAGGTACCCTTTCTCACCCCTTTCTTTGGGGAGGGTTCCCCTACTACAATCGACTGCGGAAAAAAACACAAACACAAAACAAACAAAAAACATCGGGTACCCTTGTTCTACCCTCTCTACTGGAGGACCTAGACCAGCATCATGTTGTAAAACCTGGCGGTCAAAATACCTTTGGCTCGTCTTTCTTGAGGCCCCTTTTTGGATTTTTTTTGAGGGAAAGCCACCCGCTTGGTGGGTCCCCGAACAAAACACACCGATTGAACTGGAAGAACTTGGCCTTCCCGCGGTTTCTCTGCAAAAACAACCATCACATGGGGCAGTCTCGACAAGGACATACTTGGGTTGTCCTTGAAGACTACCTTTTGAAGAAGAGAGATTCATTGCCACCCGCCCCCCCCGCCCCCTCAAGTGAGTATTTTGGCCCTTGAGGTATTCCAGGCTTTCCCCAAAGCCAACGATCGGCTCCGTCGGTTCTCCTTTCCGGGATCCTCACAGACGCCGCTGTTTTTGTGGCTATTTGGTTGGATCTTTGGCCTCAAGGCCTCTTTGGTTGAAACAGTGTTTCTGTCTTGCCGAAATACGAACCATCTACCAAGGCATTTTTGTCCTCCCACAGTATCAGGACAAAGCTTGGTAAAGTACCTGGGTCCCCCAGTAGTGCCCTTTTCCCCTTTTTTGGGTGAGGGTTCCCCTACTAAAATAGGCTACATAAAAACGGGTACCCCTCTCCACTGGAGGACCTAGGTACCCCACTCCATGTTGGGCCTTTTTTCCTCACGGCGCTTAGGACCTCCTACTACAAGCGTTTCATCCAGGCCTTCAAAGATGCCGAGAAGGCAATTTAGAGACCGCGGCGCGGCGCGGCCGATGGTGGCAACGTGTGGTTTGGCCCATGGTGGCACTGGAAAAGTGGCCCATCCACTCATGGGAGCAGTGATTGACACCCGGTGTGGTAAGAACCAAGCTCTTTTGTTGTTTTGTGAAGGGAATCTCAAAGGAGGTTATTGAGGCCCTCCTGGTGTTCGCTTGTGAAACGTTCTAGAACAATTGTTTGTCCCAACCCTACCAGTGAGGCGAATCCGAGTTGTCAAGTGGGCAAATCTCACTTGTTGTGTGTCGCTCTTCGTTTAGGGTGGATGCCTCGTAAGAAGCAGGAAGTGCTTGTTTATCCATGGCCATCCGGCGAGTAAGACATACACGACGTCACACAAGACTGGGCTTTTTTTTGTTGGCATGCGTTTAAAGTGGTGTTTGGTGCTGCTCATGTTCAGTACCCGCGGCCGGCTGCGAAGAACACCAATTGCTAACATGTTGTGGGGTCCAAAGTTTTGGCAAGATCACTTTTGTGGTAGACAAAGCGTGTGGACATGTGGGGCCAATTTCGGCGGGAAGTGACTGAACCAGTGAAGCATCTTGAGCGCATCTACAGCGTTTGCGAGAGAGATGGTTGTGCGATGTTGTGCAATGAACTCGATTCACACCTTGACAACATGACTCTCATGTCTTGAGTTAATGATCAGTTTATTGGACTTTAGTCACTTTTGGGCTTTGAACCATTTTAGTGATACACAAACAGTTTTTTCAGAAAGTGAGCAAAGTTAATCACACCTTTAACCACCCCCGATTTGGAGCCTTCCATTCAATCTCTGCAAAACCAATAGCCTCGCCAGGCTCGGGCTGACGTGGCCGCGCCAGAGCCCTAAGCCAGCTGTTGTTGGTTTTTTTTTGCACAGGGGAGCAGTTGTTGATCTTCCATTGTCGAGTTGGTATGCACTTTGTCATTTCGCTCAGGTATCTAAGTATCTGGGATATTTACTCCGACATTTCTTCCATACCTTGCTTCGACAAGCACAGCAAGATCTTTGCTGTGGTTGAAAGCTGCATTTTTTGACATGTTCAAGTCTTCGGTTCATGAGTCGTGGCATTCCAAAGCTTGGGCTTCACCGACAGCCCGGGTCGCCTCCATCACGACATCTTCGATTCCGGTCTTGGCTGGGGGCTTTGAACCGACGGTGGGTGAAAAAAGCAAAAGGACTGTTTTGGCCAATCCACTCTTCCCCAGAATTAGCTCCCCTTTTTGCTTTTTTGCTTTTTTGGGGTTCCCTTTGTTTTTCACTAACCAGGCAAAAAAAAAAATGCTGGGGTTCTAATTCCATCCAAGCACTGAGCTGAGTTTCCCTCCTGTTGCCGGCCTAGACTTACCCTCGCGCTAACATGGAAGCCGGGAGACCGTAGACCGGATTCGGGCTGTCAGCTGACGGAATTGGGCGTGCATTGGTCGGTGCATTGACCGATTCGCGGATTCGCGGATTCGCTTGGCAAGCACGAGCAACTATGGTTGTTGGGAAACATTTCACATTTTTGCTTATTGTGGTTTAGTGGGAAATCCCCACTTAACTGCTAACATTTAATTGTTTGCTCCCCTTCCAACGTCAGCCATGCAACTATCCTTCCAAAAACAATCATGAGCAACTTGTAGAGACGTCACTATTGGAGCCGTTTTGAATGAACCCCGCGCCCCCACCCCCGCAACGAACTGCTCGTTTTGTTGTTTTTTGTTTTCTTGGGGGCGGGGGTTGGCGAAGTAAACATTCTAAAAAAGCGAACCCCAAAGCAATTGAAGGGTTCTCAATTTCACGGGGTCCAACATAAGGTCAGGTGTTTCCTCATCGGCCTGTGAGGTATGAGAATGGCAACCTCCAGCATGTCTTCCTTGAAAAGGAAGTCTTCAGTGCCCGACTTGGGGTTCCATGCTTGGGATATATACGTACCATTCGTGCTTTGACCCTCACCATTGTAAGTGCTAAGTAGTGTTTTTTCGTTTTAGAAGTTTGGGATTGGTTGTTTGGGTATGAAGTAGCGTTGCTCAAGTTATCCTTTCGCTGGTTTAGATTGGTTTGGGGATTTGAAGGCCTTGTTAGTTTGAATCGGGGACTTGAATTTCTGGCTTGTGTAGAGGGTAAGTGGGAAATCACCCCTCCGCACCCGGGCTCCAAACCACCGTCCGAGGGGGGCCGAGTTTGGGAGCCTTCTGAGGCCCACCGGCCTTAAGAGACCAGGCGCAGGCATCTCAGACGTCAGTCGGAAGCTCTCTTCAGTCACTTGGGCTTGGCCCATTCTAGCGGCACTCAGGAAGTGAGACAATAGCAGATAACCGGAAACCATCCATAGGAGAACCTAGAAGACAGAAGTGAAGCCTTTTTTTTTGACCTATAGTTGCGTGGTTGGGAGTATGATAAAGGCTTAAACACTTGGAATGGGTCTGTCTTGTCTTGAGGGTACCCCTTTTTGTTTCTTGGTTTTCATTGGAAACCACAAGGAATTCCACCATCTTGGGGGTCCCCTAAAAAACAAAGCAACTGAGGTTTGGATCATGAGACAGCATTGCGCGCAGATACTTGCTATCCCCAACAGCCGCGTGTAGGAATTCATCAGTCAACTGCCACTGTTCAAGATGACATCCAGTGACCCATCCGGGGACACTGAGCATTTGGCGGTCAGTCTTGCTCTGCTTGGCTCTTTTTGAGGTTGGTCTCACAGTGAAACCATTATTTTGTGGGTCCTCTATTCTGAGACATGCCCATTTGATTTCCTTTGGGACACCGGATGTCAGATTTCTTCAATTGGTGGTTTGGATTGAGGATTTGAACCCCTGGTTCTTCAGGGTAAAATGGACGCCGCGCTCTAAGCTCCAAACCACCGGGCAATCCAATTCCAACCCAATGGAGAGAAGCTGATTTACTCAGTTGTTCAAAGCGAATCGACCTTTTGACCTTTTGGTTTTCCCATTTTGGCAATTCCATTTTTAGTAGAGGTGCCAAAAGGTTAACCTTTTAGTTCTGGGTCCTTTGGGCAACTGAGTTTATCCATCAAGGAGTTGCTGTGGTACATGCGATCGGTGCGATATGGCACCTTCCTTCCAGGGGTGGGAATAAACCGTTTTGAGATTCCCAAGGAATCCGTTGGATGGTTTTTCTTGCTGGTGCGATAAGGAATGACCTTCCTTCCGGGTTTTGAGAATGACCTGCTTTGGGATTCCCAAGGAAAGCCATCCGTTGGATGTTTTTTTGCTGGTGCGATAGGGGATGAGAGACTGAACCCAGGCTTTGGTCCTCTTAAAGGAAACCCAGTTGGCTGGTTGTTGTCGGGGTCATTCCTAGGTCCCCCCGGTGCCATGTTTCCCCTTTTTTGGTGGAGGACTCCCCTACTAACAAAAAAATCTACAGAAAAAAGTTGGTACCAACTTATTCTAACTCAAATCTGGAGGAGCTAGATTCCAGTGCTCAAACCGAACCTTCAGGTTCGGGCGGGCGAGGCGGTGCCGGAACACATTCGCGCCGGGCAGCCCAGAAAATCGGAAGGCGTCCTCCGAGCGGTTTCAGACGGATGCGCCAAAGGGGATGGCCGGAGGGAATAGGCCAGGAAGGCTATTGCGTCTATGTACCCTGATTCTGTTTGCCCAGCGTTTAGTTGTTCACTTTTTGAGCACCTGGGGGCCCGTTCCGAGAAGCTATCAGAGACTGAATTCGATAGCTGGCAATCTTGTGGCTGCAATCCTTTTCAGGTTGGTTTCAAGGGAAAAAAAGGGAAACCCACCATTGTTGGGTCCAAGTCCGTGTTTGAACCAGATATCGTTTGAGGATTGAAGGCTCAACTACCCCCAGCCCATTGGAAGAAACGCACCAAACGAGAATTTTGGGTTGCAAAACCGTCTTGTACGTACTAGGACCGCTGCCTATGGAAAGGGGTTTTCGTGCACAAGGGTTAAAAGAGCTGCGGACAAAAAATCAGAGGTGCTTTTCCCAGTGGTACGTAAGCCCTTTCAGAGGGAACTGCATGAGGGTTTGCCATTGGTGCATTTGCATGCTCGCTAGCTCATTTGCAGGGCGGATTCTGCATCACTTCGTTTTTTGGTTTGAAGCCAGCGTGTCTGCTTGGAATCGGTCTCCAATCGGATTCCATACCACGACTTGAAAAGGAACCTTGGGCTTTCCCAAGTCTTCAGGTGAGGCATGGTGAGGCCCAAGTTGAATTGCCTTGGAACCAACGCTCAACCTCAAAATGGCATCACCCCCGTAAAAATTTGGGCAACCATGATTGTCAGGGTCCCGCAAGGTGATCGCGGTCGATTTTGAGACCATTTGGACAAGTGAGAAGGGTATGGCTCCAAAATCCGGAATTCCAAAATGGAACCCTGGCAAGTGGAAACATGGACCAACACCTGCGTAACCCTAGCTCTTAAAATTTTTGAGCCACTGCCAGAATGACACTGACCTGAGTGCAAAGCATCCCCAGCGGCCCGGCACCGAGTTCTGGGACGACTCCCTGGGCCGGCGCAAAGGCTCGAAAGCACGCCAATTGCGGGTCCGTTGGGCCGTTCGGCCGTGCCGGCCCACCCAGGGAGTCCCATTTGTGGTGGAAGAAAAACACGTGCCATGTTAGTTGGTCGGAGGGGATATGTCACATCAATATAAATGTAGATCCACATATATACCCTGGGCTTCCCTCGTCTCCGTTATACACAGTCGTCCTCTCCTCACATATTTGTCTCTTTTTTGTCGTCTACGCACATATTTTTGCACCGGCTGCTTTTGGCAGGACATACATCATTTTCGGGCATTCTCACGTTTTGTTGCACAATGACGGTTAGATCCATGGCACGAACTTAGATGTTGATCCAAGCCCAGGTGTTAATTTGTCTCCGTTATATACTGGATCAACCCCTCTTATACATCCTCGCCCTTTTTTCTTAGCATCGCCGCGAATTTTTCATGGTGACGACTTTGGTCATTTTTGGCCGGTCAAGCGGATGGTTTGGCTGATGGATGGTCTCGCTTGAAACCAGAGAGCGCGAAAGAAACGGCCGTCATGGAGTCACTCTTAGCCCTGTTTAGCACCCAAATGACCCGATATCTCCATTATGTGGGTTCAAGCATTCCTTACACCCTTGCACTTTTCATCGCAGCGTCGCCGTTGTGTTGCAGTTGGGTGCTTAGCGCGCCGTGGCAAACCTTCACCTTGTGATGCCCTGATCTCGCTAGAAAGCAAAGGTCCTGTGCAGGATTGTGGCCACCGTTCAACATCTACTTTGCTCCATACCGTTTTGAACCTCATGTTGTGCAATGTGCCCCTGCTTCACAATTTTCTTGGCCGGTTTCAGCGACCTCCGGACCTCCGGAGTATGCACGTTCAATGCGTTGTTATGAGAGCCCGCGCGCAGGCATACTCGCACAAACCGCACACCTGGACCTTCTGAAGGTACACTTTTTGTCGATTGGTGTTTGAGCTCATTTTTTCGCCGATTCAGAGAAATGACACCAATTCAAGCAAATGCTGCCGACTCAAGCAACAAAAACGCCGATTGGCAAATCATATGCTGCTCAGCCCAGGCACGTTTCCGTTGCACATTCACAGCTCTTGGGCTGTGTGCTCTCGCAATGTCTAAGTCTAGACTCTGCACTGCGCACACCTCCAGTGTAACACAATATTGTTTGCCATACTTGGGCCACGCTAGGGGCCCCATGTTTGATAAAGCTGACTCGAGGCGCTTGAGTATTGGCCGCACAATTAGTTAAATGCACGCCTTGAATGCAAACCCTGCGGCTGCAGGGGGCCATAGAAGCAGCATTGGCACCATAATCCACTGCATACACGGCACCATAGCAAAAGCAGCAGCAAAGCATTGTTATGCAGAGTGCATGCATGCAGCGCCACTCAGCATGTTCGCCTCGGAACCCATACCCCTTCTCGACATGCATAAAGTGTTGCAGTTGGGGCCCAGTTAAAGCCGTGAGCCCTGCCTTGCACTATCACTCATTGTCACTCATGATGTAAAGTCCATTGCACGACCTCCACGTCCAAAGAAGCCTTTACTTGGGCCTATCTTGCCTTGCAGCTCTTGGGCGGAATATCGTTCTTTGCTGCATGGTTTAACTTGGATTCCCAAATCAGAAATCTTGACTTATCAGATAAGGCCCGTCCTCAAAAGCGGGCACCGACGGCTTCAAATATGGGTCCGGAACAGATCGCTGAAAAAGATTGCCGACTGGCTAGAAAAGATCGGCGACAGGCCGGTAAAAATTGCAGATTCGATGTTTGCTCTTTTCGTTGCTTTTGCTTGGGTGCCCGCCAGTGAATTTTCAGAGCATGCAAGCGAGCTTTGCAGCCCTCGGTTTCTGCGTTTCCTGAAGGTGGCATGCACTTCGGGCTCAGACTTTGCTGTGAAGTCGATTTGGAAGCGGGCCTTGGGATCCGATATGTCCGCGACTGATAAGTTGTTGATCAACAAAACCCATCAACATCCTGGATGTTATGAGCAGCCAGCGACATTTATTGCAAAGAAGGTCGGTTCACACAGGATGTCCAACAGGCAAAAGCGGAAACGGCGTCTTACCTGAAGAGTAGTGAAGCATCGCATGGCTTTTGTCAAGCAAATTGAATTCCCAGCAATGCCAGCAGCCAATTTTGCCTGCCTGGCCATTCGAACGCTGTCCGATGCTTGTTGTGCATGCTGCGTAGCGCTCTCTTCAAGCTGAGAGTATCTCCTTATTGGGGAGTGTGTTGCGCAAGAGATTTGTGCCACGAGGCAACATGGACTGCAAACATGTGCTGTGGCACTTGGCCCTCTTTTGCGGAACAAGTGGCCGCCCGATGCGAGCTATAAGTGCAACGCAAATTCAGGAAAAGTGCCCACAAAGAGCGAATTGAAAGCCGCGGTGCCAAAAGCCACAAAGTTCGATGACACGTTGCAAGTAACAAAAATGCCCCTCGCCGCCAAGATCCGTCGATTTACGAAAAACGCGTAACATTTTGTGAAACAGCTACAAATCGACCCCCCCCCCCCCCCGAAATCTCCGGGTATCATGAAGCTGCGCGCAAGCCTGAACGGCGTCAGTCGCCTGACGTTTCTCACCGGCCCAAGGTCATACACCTGCCTCCGTTTCCCATTTGTAGGTTGCACCGTCGGGGGAGCACTCACTTAGTTCAACGCTGAAAAATGTGTTTTTGTAGATCCCGTAATTTCACGGACAATGGGCGTATTTCACGGACAATGGCCCTGATTTCACGGACAATGGGCGTGATTTCACGGACAATTGGCCTGATTTCACGGACAATGCCCCCGCCGAAAAGTATCACTTTACCCCCTCCGCCTTCCTCCCCTGCATTTCCCACACCAGCCTGTTTGAAGTCATTTTGAGGGCCTGTACGCACACCATGTCAAACTTCAAGTCTGAGCTTGTTGATCGCTTTGTGACAGGCCCTGTTCTATAGTGTATCCATCTAGTACTGCTAGCTGGAAAGAGCAATCTAATTTATTGTTTGCTCATGAACCCATCAATCAGCTAACACTTTTAGCACAGGTTCGGCATGCCGGCTTCATATTCACACAGCTACTTGGCCCAAGAACAGGTGATGTACTCAGTGTTGGTCACCAGCATCCAATACTGGATCCAAAACCAGCTGCACAAAACCCAGCTCTGAAAAGTTGATAGTCAACATACATGTGCACCGTCGCCCTCTCCATACTGTCCACGCGCCTTTGCCCCTTTCGTATACCTGACCATTTCGGGGGGAGGGTCAAAATTTGGCTGTTTGACAAAAACATACGTATTTTTTGTAAATCGACAGAGTTTGAGGGCGAGCGGCATTTTTGTTACTTGCAACGTGTCATCGAACTTTGTGGCTTTTGGCACCGCGGCTTTCAATTCGCTCTTTGTGGGCACTTTTCCTGAATTTGCGTTGCACTTATAGCTCGCATCGGGCGGCCACTTGTTCCGCAAAAGAGGGCCAAGTGCCACAGCACATGTTTGCAGTCCATGTTGCCTCGTGGCACAAATCTCTTGCGCAACACACTCCCCAATAAGGAGATACTCTCAGCTTGAAGAGAGCGCTACGCAGCATGCACAACAAGCATCGGACAGCGTTCGAATGGCCAGGCAGGCAAAATTGGCTGCTGGCATTGCTGGGAATTCAATTTGCTTGACAAAAGCCATGCGATGCTTCACTACTCTTCAGGTAAGACGCCGTTTCCGCTTTTGCCTGTTGGACATCCTGTGTGAACCGACCTTCTTTGCAATAAGTGTCGTTGGCTGCTCATAAAATCCTGGATTTTGATTGTCATTTTGTTGACCAACAACTTGTCAGTCGCGGAAATATTGGATCTCAAGGCCCGCTTCCAATTAGACTTCGCAGCAAAGTCTGAGCCCGAAGCACTGCGTGCCACCTTCAGGAAACGCAGAAATCGAGGGCTGCAAAGCTCGCTTGCATGCTCCGAAAATTCACTGGCGGGCACCCAAGCAAAAGCAACGAAAAGAGCAAACATCGAATCGGCAATTTTTACCGGCCTGTCGCCGATCTTTTCCAGCCAATCGGCGACCTTTTACGGCCAATCAGCGATCTGTTCCGGACTCATATTTTAAGCCGTCGGTGCCCGCTTTTGAGGACGGGCCTTATCTGATAAGTCAAGATTTCGGATTTGGGAATTCAAGTTAAACCATGCAGCAAAGAACGACATTCCGCCCAAGAGCTGCAAGGTAAGATAGGCCCAAGTAAAGGCTTCTTTGGACGTGGAGCTCGTGCAATGGACTTTACATCATGAGTGATAGTGCAAGGCAGGGCTCGCGGCTTGAACTGGGCCCCAACTGCAACAATTTATAGTTTTACGCTGGATGTATGTTGCATAATGTTTTATTGCTGCCTTTGATATGGTGCCCTGTACGCATGATATGGTGAACTGGGACTGCTTCCATGGCTCCCTGCAGCTGCAGGGTTTGCATTCCAGGCGTGCATTTAACTAGTTGTGCGGCCAATACTCAAGCGCCTCGAGTCAGCTTTATCAAACATGGGGCGCCTAGCGTGGCCCAAGTATGGCAAACAATATTGTGTTACACGGTACATGTGCGCAGTGCAGAGTCTAGACATTGAGAGAGAACACAGCCCGAGAGCCGTGAATGTGCAACGCCGCCTGGGCTAAGCAGCTATGATTTGCCAATCGGCGTTTTTGTTGCTTGAATCGGCAGTATTTGCTTGAATTGGCGTCATTTGTATGATTCGCCGAAACAATGAGCTCAAAAACCAATAGGCAAAAGAAGTGTACCTTCAGAAGGTCTAAGTATGCCTTTTTCTGGATTGATGGAATTTATGGGGCATGTTTGGCGTATATACATATATATATATATATATTCCTTTCAAACTATGTGATGTTCCACATGTGCATCCCCACTGAGTCCATCTCAGATTCCGAAAAGGAGCCAGTTCATCGCCTGCGTATAAATATGCACCCTCGCCATCTCCACACACCCTCACCCCTATAGTCTGCAAAGCCAATGGACGGACAGAGTT